GACATTTATTTATTTTATAGGACACTGTGCCCAACAACAGAAAACACATTCATCTCAAGTACATAAAAAATTTACAAAAGATCACAACTTGGGACAATAAAATAACAGGATTCAGGTCACACAATGTATGGTATTTATCCATAGTTGAACTAAACTGTATTACCAATAACAGAAAAGATCTCTGGAAAATCTCTAAATATTTGAAACCAAATATACGTCAAAGTAATATAGTGTCAAAGAAGTTAAAAAGGAAATTAGAAAGTATTTTGAACAGAATAAAACTTGTAACACCAGAACTTGCTGGATGCTGTTAAAGCAGTGCTTAGGGGTAAATTTTTAACAAGAATCACCTCTAATTTTAGAAAAGAAAGGTCTCAAATCAATGAGCCCAGCATTCACGTAAAGAAATGGAAAAAATACAGGAAGCACAAGGTAAACAGAGGAAAGGAAACATTACAGATCAAGGCATAAATCAATAGTGTAGAAAATATAAAAAGATGAAAAAAAAATCAATGAAACCAAAAATTGGTTCTTTGAAAAGATCAATAAGACTGATAAACCATCTAGCTAGACTGATCAAGGGGAAAAAAAAAAAAGAACACAAATGATCAATATCAGGTATGAGAGAAGTGACATCACCACAGATGCTACAGACACTAAGAGACTAATAAGGGACTACTGTATTTATATTATCCAATATGATAATTTCTGCCATTTAATTGGGGTTTTCAGACTATTTAGTTTTATTTATTTATTTTTTAAAGATTTTATTTTTAAGTAATTTCTATGCCCAATACAGGGCTCGAATTTACAACCCTGAGATCAAGAGTCACACATTCAGGGCACCTGGGTGGCTCAGTTGTTAAGCATCTGCCTTCGGCTCAGGTCATGATCCCAGGGTCCTGGGATTGAGCCCCGCATGGGGCTCTAGCCCCACATCAGGCTCCCTGCTCAGCGGGAAGCCTGTTTCTCCCTCTCCCACTCCCTCTGCTTGTGTTCCTTCTTTCTCTGTGTCTATCTCTGTCAAATAAATAAATAAAATCTTAAAAAAAAAAAAAAAGTCACACATTCTACCAACTGAGCCAGCCAGGCACCCCTAGACTGTTTACTTTTATGCCAGCCAATAAATCCAACAACTTAAGTGACATGGTTGAATTCCTTAAAACACAATCTACTATAGCTCACTCAAAAAGAAATAGATTATCTGGATAACCCTATGTATATCTGTTACAAATGCACTGTAGTTTAAAACCTTTCTAAAAAAATATATCAGCCCCAGATGCCTTCACTGGTAAACTCTACTAAACATTTTAAGTAAGAAGTAATAATTCTACATAAATTACTTTAGAAAATTTAAGAGGGAACACTTTCTAAACCATTCTATGAGGCCAGGGTTACTATGACACCAAAATTAGACAAGGGTGTAAGAAAATTACAGACCAATATTCCTCATAATACAGATGTAAATATTTCAAACAAAATCAAATCAAATCAAACTGGATTGTTAAATCAAGAGAATTCAGAAATCCAACAATATATAAAAAGTACAAATAGATCATGATGATACAACTTACCCCAGAAACCAAACTGGTTTAGCATTCAAAAATCACTGAATGCAACGCACCATTACTAACCAATAAAAAAAGAAAAACCGTATGATCATCAGTAGACACAGAAAAAACATTTGACAAAATTCACCACCTATTCCTGATAAAAAACCCTCAGCAAAGTAGGAATTGAAAATAAACTTCATACTGATAAAAAGAATCTATGAAAAACCCACAGCTAACAAAATACTTAATGGAAAAAGACAATGTTATCTCCCTAAAATCAGGAAAAAGACAAAAATCACCAATAAAGCTAAATATTTTTTGCTATGTATTGGCCATTTGTTTTCTACACAGTGAACACTCTCTTCTTATCCAATGCCTAATGTCTGCTTCCCTACTGAGTATTTTTCCTTGGAAAAAAAATTTTCAATAGCAATAATAAAAAGTAATTTTCTCTTGTAAAAAATTCAGTAAATATTACAGATATTAATCTTTTGTCAGTCCCATCTTTTTTTTTTTTTTAAGTAAATTCTACCCCCAGCATGGGGCTCAAACTCACCACCCAAAGGATCCAGTCACACGCTCTACTGACTGAGTCAGCCAGGAGCCCCTGTCAGTCCTATCTTTTGTAACTATTTTATCCTAGTTTAAGTTCACATACCTTTCTATTTTTACCATGCAAAATTTTTTTATTTCAATGTAATCAAATATTCATTGTGAATTACCCCAATCCATATGCAGCCCCATTCTCTTTATTATTTTTGATGGTTTAATTTTCTAATTTTTATTTATTTATTTATTTATTTGAGAGAGAGAGGACAAGCAGGCGGAGGGGCAGGGGGAAAGGGACAAGCAGACTCCCTGCTGAGTGGGGAGCCTGATGCAAGGCTTGATCCCAGGACCCCAAGATCATGACCTGAATCGAAGTCAGACACTTAACTGACTAAGCGACCCAGGCACCCCTCATTTTCTAACTTAAAAAAAAAAAAATCGGAATTTATTTTGGTGAACAGTGAGGCTCTAATTTTTTTTATTTTTTATTTTTTAAGTAGGCTCTACACCTAAAATGGGGCTCAAACTCATGACTGTGAGATCAAGAGTCACATGCTCTACTGACTGAGCCAGCCAGGTGCCCCTTTTTATTTTTTATTTATTTATTCTTAAATTTTATTTTTATTAGACTTGGTGGGGGGCAGATAAGCCATCTCCTTTTACAGGATAAAATTTGATGATTCTTTGCCTTTTTCTAGAACTGTCATCGTCTCTTAAATTGTTCTCATTTCATTGAGCTTTTTTGTATATTTTCACAAGAATATAAAACTCATTATCAACAGATAATCACTGTTGAGAAGATTCTGAGAAGATGGCGGGGTAAGAAGTACCAGGAATCTTTCTCTTAATCTAGACTATAATTGCATTGGCGGAACCTGTCTGATATAACTATTCTGGAATTTGGGAGTCTACTGAAGGCTTGCAACTTCCAGAAGATCTGGATGGTAAACTGTGGTCAATTTCAGCTCTTAGCACAGTAACAACTACCCATCCCTGGACCCTCAGCTAAGTGGCAGGCTGCAGTGCACCTGTTCCTAGAGCAGCTTGCATGCTGGGGAAATGAGATAGGCAAAAAAGACCCTGTCGTTCAAATATTGGGGATCTGTGCTCTGAAAGCTGCTTTTGATCACAGAGGTGCAAACAGAGAGGCGGGTGGCCACTGTTGTGGCATTTTATTTAACACAAATATAAAATAAATAAAAATAAAAGGCATCAGGGACATAAAAAGAATAAACAAATATGGTCTCTACCTTCATGGAGTTTATTCATGGCCTGGCAATAAACACAGAAATTATTCTAAAGACTATTGGTGTGTTGAGTGCTATCAAAAGAGTACAGATTATATGCTTTACATTTCTAATTTTATTAGTTTTTAAAGATTTTATTTTTAAGTAATCTCTATACCCAATGTGGGGCTCAAACTCACAACCTCGAGATCAAGAGCTGCATGTTCTACTGACTGAGCCAGCCAGGAGCCCTTGCTTTACATTATTTTTTTTAAGATTTTTTTTTTTTAATTGAGTAAACTCTACACTCAACATGGAACTCAAACTTACTACCCTGAGAGCAAGAGTCACATGTTCTACTGACTGAGCCAAGCAGGTGCCCTTGCTTTACATTTTCTAAAAACAAAAACAAACAAAAACAAAAATGTGCATTTAAGAAAGCACATTTCTCATTAACATTACTTCTATATATTGGCTTTTTTTCAAGTTTTTTTTATTTAAGTAATCTCTACACCCAACATGGGACTCAAACTCACAACCCCGAGATCAAAAGTTACACACTCCTCCAACTGAGCCAGCCAGGTGCCCCTATGTATTTATTTTTAATCTACTGTAAGTGGGATCTTTTTCCATTATATTCTCTAATTTTTCCTCCTTTCCTAATGTGAGCTTGTGATATTGTGATGTAACAAGTATTTTTTTGGCCTTCATCTATGGTTCCTGGCAAAGAGCTCTTAAAACCCTTATAATTTCCTAAGTGGTAGAAGGAAGCCCATTGCGACCACACCTGAGTGTCAGTGAGGTGACTTTTGGAAAGCCCCTAAGGATGGGGATGATTGTCAGGGAAACCAACCATGTGATTAGAGTTGGAACTTTCAGCACCCAGCCCCCACCTCTAAGGAGAGAAGAGGGATTAGAGATTGAACCAATCACCAATGACCAATGATTATTAAATCATGCCTAACTAAGGAGGCCTCCATAAAAACCCAAAAGGATGGGGTTTGGGAGCTTCTGTTGGTGAAAACATGGAAGTGCTGGGAGGACAGTGCACCCCGAGAGAGTACAGAAACTCTGCACCCCTTCCCACATACCTTTCCCAGTACACCTCTTCCACCTGGCTGCTCTCTGAGTTCTGTGAGCCACTCTAGCTCATTAATCTAATCGTGAACCTGAGGAGGGGGCTGGGGGAACTCCAATTTACAGCCAGTTAGTGAGAAGTGCAAGTAACTACCTAGGACTTTTGACTGGCATCGGAACTGGGGTTTGACAGAGGGGTACGGAGGCAGCCTTGTGGGACTCAGTCTTTACCTAAGGAATCTGATGCTAACTTCAGATAGATAGCATCAGAACTAAACTGAATCGTAGGACAACCAGCCAGTGTCCATGGAGAATTAGAGAATTGCTTAGTGTAGGATAAACCCCATACTTCTGGTGACAGATAAGCCAAAAGTATGAAAGAAGTTGTATGCAGAGAAAAACAGAGAAGAGGGTTTTCCTTCAGAGTCCTACCATCATTTTAGCGCTGAAAACCCTGAAAGATGAACCTGGTTCCTAAACCCCCAATCACTAGTCTTAGGAAGACCAACAAATCAAACTGAACCCAAAAGGCAGAATTCTGGATCTATAAAGAGGTATTCAACTGAGAGCTACAACCTATAAAAAAGCATTTTACCTTCATTATAGGGCACGGGATTGCCAATCTTTAATCCAACTGCTTCAGCGGATTTCAAAATCTCTAACTCCATCAAAATAACTACTCTCCTATGAAGGCAAAGAAATAGAAACAAGTTAGAAAAAATCAATTCAGAAGCCCTTCAAATGACAAGCTACTTAAAAAAAGCTTTCCCCCAATAATCACTTTGATAAAACTATTTCCGTTTGTCAACAGGTTTTCATTACTGAATAACTTGAAAAAGTTATGGTATCAATTCCTATGTAAATACTTCCCTTAATCTTTCACTGCATCATTATCAAGGCTTTTTATGATTTCAGGGTTTTCATTTTCCATCTAGTCCTTTAAATAAAATGCAGTGTCCTTACCACAAACCGTATCTTCAAGGAGCAAATGACATGATCAGAATTTAGATTACTAAACACAATAATATGTGGCACAACAAAAGATCTGTTTTCAGAAACATATATTTACCTAAACAATTACCTTTTCCCAGTGAAAAACATTACACCTGTAGTGATTTTTTAATATAATTATTATCTAACAATTTACAGTTCTTTCATCTACCTTTAACTCTGATTAAAACCTTTTAATAACTTCCCAAGGCCAAAAATAAGACCTTTCACACACAGCCTACAAGGCTCTGTGTGATCTGGCCTTGCCAATCTCTCTCCAGCTCATCTCATACCACTTCTCTGAGATGCTCTGCTCTCCGGCCATTCTGTCTGCTTTCAGTTCCTGGTATGTGCCATGCTCTCTTCTGCCACAAAGCCTTTGTACATGCTGCTCACTGACTGGTATGGCCTTCTCTTATTCTGCCCTCAGCTAGTACTCATTTTATTCTCATTTCAAACAACACTTCTTCAAGAGACACTTCCTTCATCTTTAGTTTAGACTGGGTTTCTGTTATACTTTTCTCTATAGCCATGACTTCTTTCCTTCACATCACTTCTCTCCGGTTTAATTAATATACATTAATACAGAATTATGAACATAGATTTTAATTGTGTTCATCATTTAACTATTCATTTATATATATTTTATATACTCATCATTTCATTATTATTGATCTCTCCTACCAGACAGCATTTTCAACTAGAGTAGGTGCCCTCCACAGCTATTGTTCAATACATACTTGAATGAGAATGTCATGATCACATGTGTATTTGAAAAAGAACTGAAACTTAAGAAGGAATTTGAGGGGAACACACTGTTGGCAGGGAGACCAAAAGATGGTAGCCTCTATTAGGGTCCTGGCAATGGTGATAAAAAGAAGTGGATGGTTTAAAGCAATGTATTTTTAGGATTTTATTTATTTCTTTGAGAGAGAGAGCATGTGCGCAAGCAGGGGGAGAGGCAGGACTCCAGGGAAAGAGAGAATCTCGAGCAGATTCTGCACCAAGCACAGAGCCTGATATGGGGCCCGATCCCATAACCCCAAGATCATGATCCGAGCCAAAATCAAGAGTCAGACACTCAATCAACTGAGCCAACCAGGCACCCCTGGAGCAATATTTAAGCAATAACAAACCCAACTTCATCATGTTGTATTCTTCAAATGGTCTGATTGCTATATTTTGAGTTTTTATATATAACTGATGAGTTTGTGCTACCTTTATCAGGCTTTCATATCAAAGTTACATTACGTTAATAAAATAAGTTTGAAACTATCTATTCCTGACAATTAGATACAGATTCCCTATAAAAACTACCTGATAGAAATTTAGTGGGAGATATTTAACTACCTTCCAAAATTATCCAAATTATTCCAGGCTTATCAATCATTTAGCATTGGCTAAATACCAAAATCTAAGAAAATAGGCTCAAAAAATTAATTTTATCTTTTAATATATATATATCCTACATAAAACATTAACAAGATGAATCCAGCAGCACATCAAAGGAACATGCCAATATCTACTTACAGAAAACACAGATGACAAGGACACATTACAACTTTACAGAGATACAATCAGCAAAATCCAGACTATGGGAAACTGCATGAGGCTAAAGGGCAAATGACCTGGTTTCTTTTTTTAATTTTTATTTTTTTTAAAGATTTTATTTATTTGACAGAGAGAGAGAAGCAGACTCCCCGCAGAGCAGGGAGCCCAATGTGGGGTTTGAGCCCAGAACTCTGGGATCATGTCCTGAGCTAAAGGCAGACGCTTAACCAACTGAGCCACCCAGGTGCCCTGACATGGCTTCTTTAACAAATAAACAGTAAAGTGTTAACTAACTGGAATTTAAGAAAAACTTGAAACTACAAAAACAAACAGTAAGGGAGAAAAAAGATTTAGTGGCGGAACCTACAGATACAAATAGACTTTTTTTTTTTATTTATTTGAGAGACAGATTGAGAGAACGAGTGGAGGGAGGGGCAGAGAGAAAAGCAGACTCCCCAAAAAGCAGGGAGTCCGACGCAGGACTCGATCCCAGGACTCTGGGATCATGACCCAAGCCGAAGGCAGATGCCCAACCAACTGAGCCACCCAGGCGCCCCCAGATACAAAGAGACTTAAAAGAAGTATCAACCTACTACAGTGTGAACTTTATTTTGGATCCTGATTCAGATAAAATTCTCTCTCTCTCTCTCTCTCTCTCACACACACACACACACACACACAAATAGCTGGAAACAGAATGCTGACAGGATATTTAATATTTCAGGTGTAAAATGGTACTTAAAAAAATAGTTATCTTTTGGGTGCCTGGCTGGCTCAGTCAAAGCATATGACTCTTAATCTCAGGGCTGTGACTTCAAGCATGGAGGCTACTTTAGAAAAATGATTAAATAAAATAAAATAAATAAATAAAAATGTTATCTTCTAAAGCTATATACTAAGATATTTATGGATGAAATAATATGATGCCTGAGATTTGCTTCAAAATTATAGAAGAGGGTAGATGTGGAAGGGATATAGTATAAATAAGATCCATATCAGGTGATAATTTGAAGCTGGATATTGGGATATATGGGGAGTCATATACCATTTTAAAAAAAATTTTTTATTTAAATTCAATTTAGTTAACATATACCGTATTACTAGTTTCAGGGGTAGAATTTAGTGATTCATCAGTTGCATATAACACCCAGTGCTCATTACATCCAGTCCCTCTTTAATGCCCATCACCCATTTATCTCATCCCCCCACCCAACTCCCCTCTAGCAACCCTCAGTTCCCATACCATATTCTTTTTTTTTTTTTTAAGATTTTATTTATTCATTTAACAGAGAGCTCGCTCGCACAAGCAAGAGGAGTGGCAGGCAGAGGGAGAGGGAGAAGCAGGCTCCCCGCCAAGCAGGGAGCCCAATGCAGGACTCGATCCCAGGACCCCGGGATCATGACCTGAGATGAAGGTAGTCACTTAACCCACTGAGCCACCCAGGCACCCCTCCATACCATATTCTTGAATGCAAAGACTTAGTATCAAATATTATATAAATTTAATGCAATTCCTTGCATTCCAGTGAGACTTTTATTTTCTTCAACTTGACTATATAACTCTGGAATTCATATGGAAGAATAAAAAGAAGAGATGCCAAGAAAATTTTGGTGGAAAATGGTAAAAGAAGACCTCACCTGTAAATTACTAAACTACTCTACAGATGATACTTTAACTGAAAATACTATGGCAGATTTAATTACCTATGTTGGTGAGAACATGAAGAAACTAGAACCCTCATACATTGCTAGTGGGAATATAAATTGGTAGCCACTTTGGAAAATAGTCTGGTACTTCTTCAGAAATTTAATCTTAGGGGCGCCTGGGTGGCTCAGTCTTAAGCATCTGCCTTTGGCTCAGGTCATGATCCCAGGGTCCTGGGATGGAGCCCCACAAATCGGGCTCCCTGCTCGGTGGGAAGCCTGCTTCTCCCTCTCCCACTCCCCCTGCTTGTGTTCCCTCTCTCGCTGTGTCTCTCTCTGTCAAATAAATAAATGTAAAAAAACTTAAAAAAAAAAAGATTTAATCTTAAAAGTTACCGTATGACCCACAATTCCACTCCTAAATAAATATATATATATAAATGGAAGATGTCCACACAAAAACTTATACCCAAATGTCCATAGCGTTATTCTTAATAGCAGAAAGATAGAAACCCACATGTCCAAACAAATGGATAAACAAAATGTGACATACTCATACAACAGAATATTATTTGGCCATACAAAGGAATGAAGTACTGGTACATGCCACAACATGGATAAACCTTGAAAACATTATGCTACGTTAAAGGGGCCAGTCACGAGGGACCACATATTTTATGATTTCGTTTATATGAAATGTCTAGAATAAGCAATCTAGAGAGACAGAAATAGATTAGTAGTTGTATAGGGCTAGAAAGAATGGGGAGTTTAGGGGTGATAGCTGAAGGGTACAGGGTTTATTTTGGGGATGATGAAATATTCTAAAATTAATTGTGGTAATGACTGAGGAACTCTGTCAATATATTAAAAACCATTTTACACTTCAAATGGATGAACTGTAGCTGACTGAATTATATCTCAATAAAGCTGTTACTAAAAACAAAACAAAACAAAACTATGGCACTGACCATTATCAACAATAGCCAAACTATGGAAAGAGCCCAAATGTCCATCAACTGATGAATGGGTAAAGATGTGGTATATACACACAATGAAATATTACTCAGCCATCAAAAAGAATGAAATCTTGCCATTTGCAAAGATGCAGATGGAACTAGAGTGTATTATGCTAAACAAAATAAGTCAGTCAGAGAAAGAAAACACCATATGACTTCACTCATATGTGGAATTTAAGAAACAAAACAGATGAACATATAGAAAAGAAAAAAGAAAAAAAAAAGGGAAGCAAACCATAAGAGACTCTTAAGTAGAGAGAACAAACTGAAGGTAGAAGGAGGGAGGTGGGTGGGGGGGTGGGCATTAAGGAGGATGAACACTAGGTGTTACATGTAAGTGATGAATCACTAAATTCTACTCCTGAAGCCAGTATTACACTACATGTTAACTAACTAGAATGAATTTATTTATTTTATTTATTTGAGAGCGAGAGAGTGAGCGAGAGAGCGATCAAGGGGGAGGGACAGAGGGAGAGGGAGAAG